TCTATCTATCTATCTATCTATCTATCTATCTATCTATCTATCTATCTATAGACAAGGTCTCAAGTAACTGAGGGTGGCCACAGAATTCCCATGCAGCTGACGAGGGGCTTAAAATCCTGATCGCTCTGCCTCCACCTCCCACAGGCATTCACCAGTATATCTAGCGTTCCAGTACTTACTGCCAGCAACAGGAGATGCCTTCTTCCCTCTTCCTCGCTCAGCACCCCTCTCTCTCCACCTGCTCATAAATTATCATTGTGACTCACAGACATTGACTACTCAGCCTACGCTGGGCACAGTTTTAGGTCCGTTGCACACATTAACTCTATGGAATAGAGCCTACCAATTTTTAGCCATGTTCTAGATAAAAGAACAAGTCCTTTGTCCAAAGTCACCAGAGAGGAGGTAGCAGAGCCAAGAATCATCTGGCTTCTGCGCTTGCCCTCTAAGCTTCTGTGCAATTTTGGACATGCTTTCTGTACCAACCTTATTTTCTGGAAATCGCTGCAAAGTATCTAAGTCTACTTCCTTCAACTGATATGAAGGCATGATTCTAACAATTCCAACCTGTCTACCTTCTCCATCTCCATACAAACTTTGGCTAAAGCAGGTAACAACAGTCAGCACTTGACTTTCCTGCATTTTGATGTTTTCCTTTTTCATTTAAGTAGAGCATGTCAGTGATGATTGAGTCAAAGGCTGTACTAAATCAAGTACATTGTAGGAGATACATTCATTTCTATCAACTAGGAACATCTAATCTATACCCCAAGTTTTGTTCTTTGGAGGATGTATTCATCTTGGGAGTGAAGAAGGCTGGAGGAGATAGCCCAGTCTCTTCTCCTGTCACCGTAAATGAAGCCCAGACTTAAAATACACCACAGCTCTGCTGGCCCCAACAGTGTCATCTCTAAACTAAGAAAGATAAGAAAGAGTCACACCTCGGGGCTTCTGGGTTAAATCTGAACCAACTGGCTGCATGTGCCAAGACCACTACAGGGTTAGCAAACAATCACTTCTCAGTTTCAAACTTATTCTGTATCTAAGCACCCAATGTGACATCAATTCGCCATGAGATGAATATTCAAACGAGATGCATTTTAGCCAGGTGCCCTGGCTTGTGCCTGTAATCCTAGCTGGGATCAGGCTGACATAAGAGCACCACAAGTTTGAGGCCAGCCTGAGCTCCAGAGAGAGATCTTGTCTCAAGCAAAGTAAAGCAAAACAAAATAAAGATTCGGTTCAAAACCAAAAAGGCACGCTCTAAAGGCCCCAAGTTCCCTTTAGCAAACAAGGCAAACAGTACCAACAGAAGCTGTTTGCAAGTCCAATCCCGGGCTAGGAACAGCCAAGTACTCAGTGTTACCAGAAAATTCAAGGTCAGCACTTGCAGCCTCATTTCCATCACCCAGCGCTGCCTTTGACAAAGGCTTGGCCTACATTCTGAAGAGCTGTATTCATTCCCCAGCTCACTATTTCAGCCTCACACAGACTCCTGTTACTTCAACACTCCCGAACAGTGTTTGGCCTTTTCCCTTCTTCCTTTAGATGACACCCAAAGAGACAGAGAAAACAAAGAAAAACTGTGAGCTTGGAGTGATTTCAGCTAAAGCCTTTTGGATAAGCATCCCCACGTGGAAATCTACCCCTAATAGATCAGAGAAGATCCTCTAAATCCTACCTGGTTTTTTAAAAATTACCCTTGAAACACTTGGTCAAAGGAGTGCTGTCTGACCTATATGGGGTTTTCCCTCCACCCTTCTCCACCCTCAGTACACAACTGAGACTTTTCAAATAGCAAAGGATCTCTTGTCAGGTCTTACAGCCAAATCAGGGCATCTTCAAAGTGGCTGGGTTTGACTTTGCCTTGAAGAAAAGAAGAAAATGCTGTTGATTGAAACAAAAGCAAACCACAGCAACAAAAGCAAATCTGAGGCATCCCAGAGACAGCCTGACACCCTCTGTCAGTCTTCCTAGGGTCAACAAGTCCTTGTGAAGCAAGCCC